GTCTCTCTTCTTGTTTCTTTTCTCGTTCTTCTTGTTTCTTTTCTTTTTCCTCCAACAACTGCTGAAATTTCTCTTGTTTATTGGGCTGTTCGAGCTGCCACTGTTGTCTAGGTTTTCTTGCAACTGCTGTTGTCTCTCTTCTTGTTTCTTTTCTCGTTCTTCTTGTTTCTTTTCTTTTTCCTCTAACAACTGTTGTAATTTCTCTTCTCGTTCTTCTTGTTTGTTTTCTCGTTCTTCTTGTTTCTTTTGCTGTTCTTGTATTGCTGCCATCAAGTCTGTTATGCTGAAGTTTGATTTGCCGCTTCTCGTTTCCATTTTTTTGTCCCACTCTCTGACACCAATTTGTTATGTCTCCGTTCGTTAGTGACACAAGTCCTTTCTTAATAAAACTGGTTTATTCTTTCTGAATATAACTTTACCGATACACCTATTTTCAACAGTCGCTCTATAACAACGCTATAACAACGACGTTAACTTCAACAATACTTTCGGACTGCAGTTCAATTACTCACTACCTACACACATTGTTATGTCACGCCGTGACCATCTTATATATACCAGACCACCCCCAATCTAGCAAATGCTAGAGCACTCCGGAAGGAACAGGATAGTTCTAGAAACGTGACGTGACACTAGTCACGTGACCTCGCTGACGCAACAGTATTATTTGTTTTATACTTAAACAAAATTTTGATTTTTATGTTATAAGTTCTTCCCTTAATTTAAACCTCAACTGCAACCTACACGTTAGCTGGCTCAACCTTAAATACTACAAGCAAGGGAAGTAAGGTAGCTGCCTGGGGGTCCTTCGCCATGTGGAGCTTACCCACAGATATTTTGTATGTGTGATTCTTAGAGATGAAAGTGCAAAACCCAATTACCATACGGTTGACCTATTAACGAACGTAACACACATGAGGGTCCGTGCACTTCATATTGTTGCGTCATCGAGATCATGTGATTCTCACGCTCTCTACTTTCTAGAATTATCCTGTACTTTGGCGAATGCTCTAGTATTTACTAGATATAGGGCAGTCGGGTATATAAAAGAGGGGGATGTAATGCGTGTGAGTAGATAGTGAGTAATTGAACTGCAGTCACAGGGTATTGTTGAAGTTAACGTTCGTTCGTTACAGTGTTGTTTTAGCGCGAGTATTGAGATTAAGTGTGTCGCAGGGTTGTATTCGGAAGGAATAAACCAGTTTTGTAAGGTAAGGACTTGTGTCGTTGGAGTTTCGTTGGAACGAAGTTACGGAAAGTTAATTAACAAACAGAGACGTAACAATATCTTGCCTTAGTCACATTAGGAGGAAACAAAACTAAACATTGTGTGGATTATAATGTTATTATTAAACAAAAAAACATTAATAAGATAAATTCTATGCAAATCAGAAGTATCGTAAAATTAGATGCTGGTAAAAACCAAATACACATAAAAGTTAGACAAACATTAACATTCTGGTCAAACTTTATATATCTTCAAATTAAGCAATCTAGACAGAATAAGTTTTTGTTTATTTATAAAAAAAAGGCCAAAATGGGCTATCTGCTGTGTCCACCGCGGGGAATCGAACCCTTAATTTTAGCATTGTAAATCAATAAACTTACCGATGTTCCACCTAGGCCTCTTCCCCAGTGGCAAATAGTGTAGCTTTGCGCTTAACTACAAAAAAAACAAAAAACAAAAAAAAAAACAACGAAAAACAAACAGACCCACACCGAAGGATAAATAGAATAAGAATAAGCTGTATAACGTTTCAGTACCAGTGTATTTAAGTGCCTTTTTTAAACAGGTTACAGATAGAGCTAACAATATAATCATTTTACTGACTTATCATTTTATTCTTTTATTTTTTACAGGAAGAGAAAACTGATCATAGTTTGTTACTTTCGAAAAAAACCACAACAGGTAATTTTATATACGAAAAAGGAATGCATTTTTGACAAAGCATTAAAGCAGGCTCAGTGGTATATTTTGATAATCATATAAAATATTCATAAGTGTCACAGACATTGTATTGTTGCGTCATCGAGGTCACGTGACTGGTGTGGCGCCACCTATTTTCTAGAACTATCCTGTACCTTGGCGACTGCTCTAGTATTTACTAGATATAGGGTAGTCTGGTATATAAAAGAGGGT